AGGGTGGTGGTGTTTCTCACCGGAATTTCGCCAAAATAGTGTTTCTGGTATCGTTTGGCTAAGGGAGAGACACGGGGTTGCGAAGGAGATCACGACAAACTCGTTAAGGATGTTGATGTTGGCTAGTCCCAGTGGCAGTTTTATTCTCATTTAATGAGGCGACAAATCAGCAAAAATGATAACATGGCACAAAATTTATGAGGATAGGTGATGAGTTTTATCTAGATGAAACCCAATGCACATTGTTTCCACTGGGAAAGTGAGTGAAAATCTACTTATTCATTCAGGGCACCCCTACTCGACTTGGTGGTGCTCGTTCCTCAAACCAGAACAACTCTGAACGTTAGAAAAATATGGAAAGACCATCTGAGCAAACCGACCAAAGGACTTCATTACTTATCCAAGATGGACATTAATGGATTAAGCTAAGCCTATTATAAGTAGCGTTACTGCTTGACCGGTGGGGAGGAAGATTTCAAAGGGCCTATTTGGTAGAGCTTCACCGCTGAAAAAGTAAATCTGGATCTTGGATTCACCATGGAGCAATTCCATCGTGGATCTACCAGGAAACTGTTTGGCTACGTAGCAGCTCCAGATCCACGCAAGGGCATTTTGCTTGGAATGGCCTGTTTTGCTTTGGGATCGGCCCCACATGTCAATGTATGTGATCCATTCTTCCTTCTCTGGCAAAAAAAAAGACATGGCTTCTTATTTCTCTCACGCGGAGGAGAGCGGGCACGGGGTAGCGTCTGTGCGGCCGACGACGGGGTGGCTCTCGCACCTAGGTGACTAAGCTATGCCACGGGCGCGGCCAGGCGTTGGTGGGGCGCGACCGCGGGGTGTGGGCGCGGCTGGGTGACGGTGGGGGCACAGCCGTGGGTGTGGACGTAGCCATGGTGGAGTGGGGCGCGACTCAATCTAGGCACAAAAAACCGAGAACCGAACCGAACTAACCGGAACCAAAACCGAAGTAACCGAAACCGAAATATTCGGTCCCAGGTTCGGTTCCAGGTTTCTAGGAACCGAAATTATTATGGTTAATTCGGTTCCGGCACTCGGTTAACCAAATTGACCTAAAATAACCGAACTATGTAAAGCCCCCTAGAATGCAGGATTGAATATTGCTCTATGCTTAAATGTTTGAGAGAACAATAACATATATGTGTTGTACTGTTGTTTTATGCTGCATTGCTGTTTAAATTATTCATTTTGACTGCATGAAAATTAGGCAAAATGCTGCCAAAATTTGCAATTGAATGAGTTATTTCTTGGTTCTGAAAAATCCGGTTCCATCGGTTAGAACCGAAACCGAACCGAATTATCCGAAACCGAAATTCCTCGGTTTCGTATTTTCAAGGTAACCGATCGGTCCTTCTTCTCAGTTAATCGAATTAGCTGAAGAACCGAACCGATCGGTTTCGGTTAACCAAACGCCCAGACTGAGGCGCAACAGCAGGTGGTGGGCGTGGCCGGGTGGAGGTGAGGCGCAGCGGGGCGGGGTGTGGCCATGGCTGCGGGGCGCATGGTCAGACTCGGAAAAGCGCAACGCAAAAGCTCGTGGAAGAAGAGGGAAAAGAAAAGAAACGAATGGGAGGTGCGATGCGGGTTTGTAACCAGTGGTGGATAATTTTCTTCAATCCACCGATTTGAGTTTGGTGGAGCACGTGTTGAGGAGCTCCATCAAAATGATAACCTGCCCCAGATCCATCATTTTGGTGGATTTAGAGGGTTTGAGAAATCTTTTGTAGAGTGAAGCTATTTATGGTAAATCTAAAGCGGGTGAAGCTCTACCTAACAGGCCAGATCAAACATTTTTACTTTGCTTTGTCCCTCGGAATCCACCACAAAGTTTGGGTTTGAGAGCCCTGTGATCTAGATTCTAGCATGATTCAGAGAGCATGTGTATATATGTAGTCTACGTTGGTGAACGGAAGCCGCCGTCCTAAAAAAAGTTTTTGTTTTATCCTCACACATTGAAAATTGAGTGAAACTCCACCAAAAACATTTTATTCCATAACACCATACAATATTTAAATACATATAGACCTATAAAACTGTAAATAAAAAAATATACACTATGTCTTGTTTCTCCTCATCACTCACGCCCTACTTTTAGAAAAGTTCAACGAAACCTAGCATTAGGAACGGCCTAAATTGCAACAAAAGCTATTTGACCAAAACGCCAGCATAAACTGTACTCCTATAGCAGAGCTCTTTCTACTCCATATTCTTTATGGAAGCTGATTCTTCGTGAGAAATAATTTTACTAGAATTAATTTTCTATGATTATGTGTATATAGTGATTCTATGCAGTAAATCAAGAGATACTACCTCGAATTAATTTTAGAGAATCATTTTATAGAACCAGAAAAAATCATTTTCAATAAAAAAAACTATTTGGCAGAATTCAGCATGGAAGCTGCTACAGGAACTATGCCGAATTGACCCAATTTTTTACGATCTGACCTTTTTTTTAACAAAATTTATGTTTGGTCCCTAGAAGACTTAAACTTATCTTTGAACTTGAGGTCACTCATCTTTGGATCTGGGGTTGGTGCCAGGACTCATGATGTCGAGGTAACACGTCTCGGCGTCACAGATTTTGTTGTCGAGATGTTTGACCGAGCACAATAAAGTATCTTAGATGACATTGATATAACCGGTACCTCAACGCCAAAATAAATGACGCCCAGCTGAACGCCACAAATCTCGGCGTCGGCACGCGCCTGTGTGCGGTGCGGAGCGGCGTGTAGGCGTGTCCGCGGATGAGACTTTGACGTTGGGGCTGTGGCGAGCCCAGCGGACGCGACGGCGGGCTCGGGGCCGGATGCTTGGGATAGGCTGTCCCATCGCGCAGGCTGATAGGCTGTACCTTCTATTCTATTTTTATATTTTTAGTAGGGCTGTATTTAGTTTAAATTTTTTTTCAAAAAATGTTACGGTAGTCATCATATCGAATCTTGCAACAAGTACATGGAGTATTAAATATAAACAAAAAAAAACTAATTGTATAGTTTAATTGAAAATCACAAAACGAACGTTTTAAATCTAATTAATCTATAATTAAACACTAATTATCAAATAAAAACAAAAAAAACTACTGATATCCAAATTCCCAAATTCACATGAACTAAACCCAGCCAAATTCCCAAATAATAGTATAGAGCTGCTCCACTCTCGACTGGTCTGCTGACACAAGTCACTGTTGTTACAGTGCTCAAAAGCAGCCGCTGCGGCTGGCTTCAGAGCAGCCGAACGAGCTGAGTCCTATACTACTAGTACTACGAGTACTTGTATAGGCCTGCCTACCGATGTGATAAGTACGAGTACTATTTGACTTTTTAAAAAGAAAATAATGACTCTTTTGGTACAAGTTACAATGGTTTTATACATATTGCAAACTACATAGAAAACATGCTTCCTCTCTCTCAGAACAGATAAAGCTTTTGACCTTTTGACATCTTAAATAACTGTCATCTAGAAAAAAAAATGCTGACGAATAGCCTTAGACATAATTAACCGAAGATCAAACCAACTAACTGAAGACTGAGACCGAAGTCAACGATATCAATTTTTTGTCACTAGTTCGATCAGGAGTCCATAGCCGATTATTTTTTTTACGATTAGTTTGGTTATTTTTTTAACGCACGTCTTTTGGAAAAAAGATCATATGCAACCTATTCATCATGTGAGATCTTGTTTTAAAAGATTTATTGTTAGAAACTCAATGGTATAATCAGAATTTAATTTGGATATTTAGTTTAGAAGTTATGACTTTTTTAGTGGTGTTTGGTTGTTCCTTCCTAAATTTTAGTTGTTGTCATATTAAATGTTTGGACATATATATAAAGTATTAAATATAGACTAATTATGAAACTAATTATATAATTTACGACTAATTTACAAGATAAATCTTTTAAACCTAATTAACTCATGATTTGACAATGCGGTGCTACAGTAAATATATGCTAATGACGAGTTAATTAGGCTTAAAAATTCATCTCATAAAATTTCTAATAAATTATATAATTTATTTTTTATTAATATCTAAACACTCTATATAATATTCTTCTACACCTTCTAAAATTTAGTCACCGACTCAAACACCACCTTTGGTTTGAAGTCACTGCGTACATACGCAAGCTGAGACGAGTGAGGTAGGCCTGCGCGATGGGACGTTCGCACTGTTTGACAGAGGCAAGTTGCATGTATATCGTCCGCGTCCGCCTCCCGCCGGCTTCGTCGTGGCCGACATGAATAAAAAGCCCTGCCAGCCGTCGTGTCCGCTGGGCTCGCCACAGCCCCAACCCAACGTCAAGTCCCATCCGCGGACACGTCTACACGCCGCTCGCACCGCACACAGCCGCGTGCCAGGTCGGCGTAACCACGGATCTTTGCGTCGAGGTTGGTGTCATTTATTTTAGCGTTGAGGTATCGACCACCTAGGCACCTAGGATATTCTACTTTGCTCGATTATGTATACGTGTGACGATGAGACGTATTATCTCAACGCTATGAGTTATAACGTCGATCTAGATTAAAGATAAGTTTAAGTCTTTATGAGAGACCAACATAAATTTTGTTAAAAAAAGGCCAGATGGTAAAAAATTAGGCCAAATTGATCCTTAGGCCTCGTTTAGATTCTAAGTTTTTTCACTCTCTCTTTATCATATCAAATCTTTAAACACATGCATAAAATATTATATATAGATAAAAAAATAACTAATTACACAGTTTGATTGTAAATTACGAGACGAATCTTTTAAGTCTAGTTAGACCATAATTAAATAATAATTATCAAATACAAACAAAAATGCTACGGTGTCAGATACTGATTCCTAACCATCTAAACAAGGCCTTAGATTCACAGACCTGCACCTCACCCAGGGAAGGGCCGAAGGGGGCTCCAAGCCTCCAGCAGTCCAACTCGACGCCGGAGCCGAACCTGATTGCTGCCGCGGTCGCTCTCTCAACGAACAGATCCACCTCGCATCTCCGGCATGCCGCGCGCCCCGCGCCGGCAGTCCGGCGAGGCGCGCCGGGTCGCCTACAAGTCGCGCGTCGACTTCAGCCGCTCGCGCCGCCGCCGCGAGGACGACCTCCTCGCCCTCCGCCGCCTCGACCGCGACGCGGGGCTCTTCAAGCGCCGCCGCGACGAGCCCGCTCCCGCTGTCCCTGCCTCCGATCCGGCTCCTGCACCCGCCGAAGCAGCCCCACCCGCAGGCATCACTCGTCCGACCTCACTCCCTCCTCGCCGCCAGACGTAGCGGCTCCCCGTAATGCCGCCGAGTCAGAGGTGCGTGCCTTGCTTAGGGTTCGCTCAACTTATTTCGAGTGTTTTAAAAGTTCCATAAAGCCAAAGGTCATCTTGAAGACTTGGACTGAGTTAAACCAATGCAATTCTCCTGTGTTACTTGTGAATCATGCCATGCTATCATAAATCCGTGAGGTTTAGAAGCCAACAATTCAAATTCAACATGATGAATCTAGTTTGAAGCATAAACATTCACAATTTACTGAAGCCCGTGATTAATGTGCCGAAGGAAATTCTGAAAATGATTAGATGTCTACCGTGCCCTTTTCTCCACCAAAACACTGTTTACACTACCTTCTCAGTGGGTGAACCCAACAGATAGATGTGGGATTGAAAACATGGACCAATCCGATTCCATGTTTCTTGTATGGCTTAGGAAATGGCTTACAGTAGCTTGCAAGGAATCTGATGTTTTGGTATTTGAAAGTTTAAGAAAAACATAATGCATTCAATAGTTTCATGTACTCGTGTTTCTTTTCAAATTTCGTTAGTTTGTCTTTTGTATCCAGTTAGCTTGAAGGCCTATCAGAGCTGGTCGACAAACTATGTTCAGATGACACCACCAGTCAGCTCGAAGCCACAGTCCAATTCAGGAAACTTCTTTCAGATGGTACTTGACATGTTTAATGCGAGATGCAGCTCCTTTCATATTGTATTGTATATTTTTCTGACCTTAGCTCTGTCTATAGAGAAGAACTCAACTGTGATAAAAATCATCCGAGCGGATGTCCTGCCCAGATTTGCTGAGTTTCTTTCAAGACACGGGCTTCCCCAGCTCCAAGTATGTTCCTTGCTTCCCCCTCCATCATTTCCTCTCTTCTTTTATTTTCTTGTGTATTTAACCTCGTGTACTTTTTACAGATGGAGGCTGCCTGGGTTCTTACCAACATAGCTGCATCTGATTATACACTGCTGGTTGCAGAATGCGGTGCTGTTCCAAGGTTGGTGGAACTATTAGGATCACCAAATGCGAATATCAGGCATCAGGTGAAGCAGTTACATTGAATATTGATCAATATTTCTGTTTGTAATGGTTTGGTATGTGATATTGTGGGCTCTTACATGTTAAGCAGGCTATCTGGTGTCTTGGGAATATAGCTGCAGACATGGCTAGCTGCAGAGACATTCTCTTTGATCATGGTGCTCTTACGCCTTTACTTTCTCAATTTAGAGAAGACATGAAGATTCCAGTTCTGAGAACTGCTATGTGGGCCCTGTCAAATCTTTGTTTTGGAAAATTGCCAGCCGAAGTGCAAGTAGGCTTTTGTTACTGCTATCTTTGTTCCTTCTTTTTTGTTCAATTTGTGAATAAAGGGTTTGCTGATAATCTGCTTTGACTGGGCACTGTAGGTGAAACCAATACTAGAAATTATCAGCCAGCTTATTCATTCTGCCGATGAGAAGATACTGGCAGATGCATGCTGGACTCTTTACTACATATGTGGCGGTAAAGGTGATGCTGTCCAAGATGTATTAGATGCTGGGGTCTGCCCTCAACTTGTAAATCTTTTGATGTAAGTCGTCTGATTCATTTTCCTAGTGCAGTGTACATATTATAAGGCTACCTGGTATTCCTTGTGGCTAATTGGGCTTCTTTTCATGATTTTAGGCATGCATCAGCTAATGTTCTTCTCCCTGTCATTATGGCACTCGCAAGAATTTCTGCGGGAGATGATAAGCAAGTCGAGGTAGCTTTATAGCTATGTATTCTTTGTGCCCTCGTCCTTTACTGATGCAGATTTCCCAGTGATCTGCAGTCACTAGAATGTAGAATGTAATGGCAAAAGAAGTATGGAGATGCTGGTTGTTGTCAGTAATAATGCTTTGGTCTTTTTAAGACCTAAAACCATATATCCTGGCCTGCAGTAACATTTTATTGCCACAACTGCAACTATGCTAACAGTACCCCCTTTTTTTCCGATGTGAGCCTTTTTCATACCTTCCAAGTTCATAAAAAAAAACTCTGAATCACAATGCAATCAATATTTTGCAGGTCTTAATAGAGAATGGCATTCTCAATTGGTTAGCGCAATTGCTAGCACGAAATTACCCAAAGAACGTCAAGAAACAAGCGTGTCTAATTGTTTCCAATATTGCTGCTGGTAGCAAGGATCAGATTCAGGTAGTATATTCCGGATCTTTGTGTGTTTCCTATGTAAAAATGCTCTGTCGTCAAAGGGACGTGCCTGAATATGTCCTACCTACATGTACATATGTTGCATCATCATATCTACTGAATCATGTATGAATTATCTCACTTTTGTTGGCTCTTGATTCTTCCATCAGGCAGTAATTGATGCAGACATTATAACACCTCTCATTGTCTTGCTAAGGACATCAGAGACGGATATAAAAAAAGAGGCTGCTTGGGCTATATCAAATGCTGCATCTGGTGTTCAAGTGATCAAATTCAGTATGTTCTGGCCTGTGGTCATCTGAATCTTTCTTCAGTGTTTTGGCACACCGAGCTAAACATGGTTATCTCTAATGACTGGCTACCATTTGGATGCAGGTATTTGGTCAGCCGGGGATGTTTAGAGCCCCTCTGCAGCATCCTCACCTACAAGGATCCTGACCTTCTATACACGTGTCTTGAAGGTCTTGAGAATATACTCCAGGCAGGTGAGGCAGGGAAGAAGGGCGAGGAATCAGGGACGAACCCATATGCCGAGTTTATTCTAGAGTGCGGAGGTCTGGAGAAACTAGAGGGCCTGCAGGATGTCGACAGCGACAGAATCTATGAGCTAGTCATGAAACTGCTGCAGAGCTACTGGGAGGAAGAAGTAAGCGAGAGTGATGATCCGAACATCCCAGGTTCAAATGACTCGTCAGATACCGTGGAAGCAACGTCTGAAGATGCTGCGCAGCCACCAGTACCACCGCCCTCTGGTGCAGATGAAGCCGAGTGATGGCAGTTATTGTATTGCATATGTATTTCAGGAGACAAGGCCTTGTTCCTTTTCTTAGTGGCATATATAGTATGATAACTACTATAATCAGGTTGATGTAGAGAGGAATACGTGAAGGTCAGGTAGTCATGTGCAGAATTTTCGCATCACGTTTCTGTAGGCGACATTGGGGCATTTTGACTAGACAGAGAATTTGAATGGAGAATTTGGGCCATGAGAAGAGAGGTTTAATCTTAGAAGGCTGGCTCGTGTAATAGGACACTCTAGTTGAAAAGAAAAAATTTTGGTGCGTGCTGCTGAAAGGTTGAAGATTTGGCCCCATGTTTCCGTTGATTGGGCTGGCTGTAGAATGAGGTGCTGCTTCGTTGTACTGATGAATCTTCACTCAGATTTGCCTCGTTGCCCTTGCAATTTCTTTGTTGGTGCCCAGTTGCCCACTGCTCTTCACCGTCGGAACCTGCCAAAAAAAAAGGTGGGATCTGGAATGGCTGCTGCTGGTGGTGGCAAATGGCAAAGAGGTTTTGGACTTTGGAGAAGCATGTCATGGATGACCAGGATGGATACATACTCACGTCACCTACTGTAGTATCTATCCATCCATGCATTCATCTCCTCTGAAACTGAAATGTCACGGAGAGATATATACATGGTTCGGGTTGCGCCATGGATTGATTGATTGATACACGTTCAGATTCACAAGCAAAGCATGGATGAATGGATATATGTTTCGTTGGCACGCAAGAGCAAGAATATAATCTGATATATTTTGGAGTGTTGTCTCGAAGACGTACCGGCCGGCCGGCCTGCACGCGCCGAGGCGTGCTTGGACTCTGTTTGTAGTTGTGTGTTTTCCGTGCGTGATGGCATGCAAGAGATGGATGTGCCACAACCAGCAGAGCCACCATGCAAGTTGCTGGATGCAGTGTCCACGTCGCAGACCTCGATCTCTGCACTGCGTTGCGTTGGACATTTGGACGGCGGCTAGCTGGTGGTAGACGTGCAGGGTGGAGCTCTTTCCTGCTCCTTTTTGCGCTTTTGCTTGCTTGATGACTTGCATTGTTGGCTGCGCTTTTCGCAGCGATTTGTGGCGGAGACAATCTTGATGGTCGCTGGGCGCTGCCTCAGCTCCATCTCCATCTCCTCGAGGGGATGACGCTATACTCCATCTATCGAGGAAACACAAGTTCAGAATTCAGACATGTGGCGGCGAGAGGAGATCGAGATGCATGATCGGATCGGAGAAGCTAGCTAGCTAGCACTGCAATTTTCTGGTAGCCTCCGGATACTCCGGATAAAAGATGCATGTATGGCGTGCGTGATATGTACACTTGAGCCTAGCTCGTTGGTCGTCTTGCATTGGTCCCCAGAATCATGTAGTTCACTGTTGCAGGCGATAAGGATGAGATCAGATCAGATCATGACCAGGCGACCAAATTAACCAAACAAACAAGTCGTCTTACTTTGTTGCATACTTGCATCGTAAATTATATTAGCTATATATATTCCATATTGTAAGGTTAAGCAAGGTAAGTTAGCACGTACAGTACAGATGGATGCTGATGCAAGTCATGCACAACACAATAGCAGAGGATTATTGGATCCGTGGTCAGTGTGAAGCCCGTACAAGACATGCATGTTGTATCGCTGTGCTGTGCTGTCAGTCAGTGTGAAGGGATGAGCCTCGGAGGTACAGGTACTCCTAGTCCCAGTAGAAAAAGGTGACGGGAACGGGATCGGCGCATGAACGCGTCGTGCGCGACGCGGCGCGTTCACAAGTCAAGTCGCCCTCACGTGCTGCTGCTGATGATCGATACGTCCGGAGGGCCGTGGGCCCGTGGCATCGACCCGGCGCGTTCGCAGTCACTGTTGCCGAGCACACAAAAACACATTCGCCGTCGTCGAGATGGCTTAATTGGGAGATAATAAGGAGATGTCAATTGTCAATGGGTAAACCTTGGTAGGCTAGCTGATGATCATGCTCGGCAAAGCGATTTGGAGGACGCGGTCTCACTCGATAAAATCTAAGGGCATGTTTGATACCATGGCTATTGTTAGCTAGCTAATTTTTAGTTTAATAAATTAGTTCTAGGGCATCTAAATCAGGAGTGAAGCCAGACCAAAGTGGCGCTAAGGTCAATCCTAATACAAGCTCGGGTCTTTGCCTTTGATAAACAATACAGTACATTTATTCTCATTGAGTTTGCAGAAATTCATTGACCCCAACAGCAAAGCCTAGCTTCGTCCCTGATCCAATAGAAGAGCTAATAGGTAGTCTAATTTATTAGCCAAGTCTTCAACTAATTGTTAGCCAACGGTAACGAATTTGGACTAATTTTTAGCCCTAACTAGTAACTAAAAATCTGTATTGTATCTAAACAGGCTCTAAATATACATGCGAGGGATTTACCATGTTCAGACCCCCGCTAGGATAAATGCTCTGCGTCCTGGACAAGCCGGGCCGAGGCTTATTAGGCCTATTCTTGTTCTCGTCTCTGAAAACATATGGGGGAGAGAGGTCCCCTCTATAAGGCGTTGGTCTTTTATGTCCAAGGCTATAGTCCCATGCCTGGGGATGCACGCACGTCACAGTTTTTACAACATTATTGTTACCCTATCTATACATACTCTTTTATTCTCCAACCCAATTTGTAAATACCCTCAGGAGTAAAACCATCCATATTTTTTGGGCGAACTCAATGTCTTCATGACTTCACTTCGCAAGCTTCATGATGGTGCCACGCATCCTCCAACTCATCCTCCTATTCTTGAGGTCTATGTCGGTTAAATCCACCGCATGTGGTTTTGAGGCTAAATCCACCAAACCGTCCATGCATACTTCACCAAGGTTAGACGCTTTTGTATTTTTTTTCTTGGCTTGACAGACACCATCTTCATCATTCCTAATGTAGACGTGTGTTTGACCTCCGCCAAGTACCACGATTTCATCGTACTCCTCGACTTGGCCTATGCCATCTTCATAGTCCTCTTGTCCTTGTGTCTTCTTTGTGCCCAAATGCGAGATGCCCATGGTCCATCCCCGGCCTTTTTGTCCTTTGGTCGTCCAACCCTTCATATCCACCTTTCACTGCCCTCAGTCGTCCATCGTGCACGGATCCGTCGCTTGACCTTCTCAATCGTCTACCGATCACCTCGGCGCATCCAACACCTACACATTTACAAGACCACACAATGCCACACGGTAACACACCTCTGCTCCACGCATGCATGGGTAAACACTTTTTTGAACACACCTTCTAGAATTCCCACTGCCTTCATCTTTTTCTCAAACCCATTTTTGGCCATCCAACTATTTTGACCATCCAACAAATTTGACTTTCTTCTTCATTTTTCGCCATCCTTCTAGAAATAGTTTTTGGTACTAGTTTCAAAATTTTCTGATTTAAAATAATTTTGTCATGAATTTTTTAAAAACTGTGCTAGTTTTTGCCATTTCATACTTTTTTATTTAAAATAAATTAGTCATGGTTTTTTTTTAAAAAACTGAGCTATTTTTTTGTTATTTTCAGAAAATACAAAACCACCTTTGAAAAAAGGTGGATGTCCAAAAATTTTCAGCTGGTTAAATAATTCGGATCTTAGAGTTGCATGTCAAAAAAATTCAGAATTATTGAATGGCTAAAAATATAATAGACCCCTTCCTCCTTTTTTAAATATTGTTCTTCTTTATCTTCATCTCAGAATTAGTGGCAACTTAGCAGTCCCGGGCTGCAAATGAAGCCAAAATAACTTTGGAAAGAATAAAAAGCCAAGATTATAATGCTGATGCGGGAGCAAATGATTAGGATAGATCGTCAGTGACCACTGGCCAGTGTGAAGCCCGTACGTGCAGTGCCGTCGTTCAGTGTGAAGCGCCGGCCGGGGAGCCTCGGCCGGAGGCAGAAAAAGGAAAGGTGCTTACGGCACGCGGGCACGCGGGCACGCGGCGCGTTCACAAGTCACCGTCATGGATGTGGTGGTGGCGGTGGCTGCTGCTGCTTCTTCCGGCGGACCGTGTTATCGACACACCTGGCCTGCAATCTTGATGGTCTGGGGCGCTGGTGTAGTGCCTGTCGCTGTAGCCCAACAGATGATTACCTCCTCGATCTGTTCTGCTTCTGCATCGGAGTAGCTACAGTAAGTACTGCCATGCATGCCAGAAAAGAAGTAGAACGAGGTCGATATCTTCGAGCATGAAAGCTACGTAGTTACTAAGGTTCATGCATTCACATGATGAATTTGTTTGCAATGGGTTGGTAATTTGTATCTTGGGGCCGGGGGAGGTACATGTACATGCACTTGCTGCTGGCTGCAGTTAAACAAAAACCATTCCATCATCAGCAATTCAGCATGCATGCATGGTGGTGTAGTTCTTGTTTGTTTTTCTTCTTCTTCCTCAGCTTGCACTAGCTGCAGCCTGTTGTGTTTGGATAAACGATAATAATGTGGAAAAGAAGCAAGACAGCTGTGGTGGTAGCAGATTGTTAATGTGGAGGCAGTCGGCTAATGCGCTTCGCCATCAAGCAGACTGCAGCAGCACGAAACTTTGGACTCGTTCAATGCAATTTTAATTTTCTTGGATGCATGGTTCGTCTCTTTGTTTCCTATATACTGCAGTAGTATCTGTATCTCGGCGATGGATGATTTTGTGGATAAAATGCTTCAAGTGCAAGAATATAATGATGGATGCAATCATCAGGCAACCTCCTTCTTGCACGCTCACTGGCATTGCATCTGCATCTGCACTCTGCAGTTGCATTGGGATTTTTTATGTCGGCCCAGCCACCACGAAACCCGGCCACGAGGGAAAAGGGGAATCGATGCTCGATGCATGCCTGCCATTGCTGCATGCGCTCGCTCGCTTTCCTCAGGTGACTCCGGTTGGCCTCGTTGTCTCCATCGACCGATGGGTCCGTCGCCGGAGCAGCAGCACTAGCACTAGCACTAGCAGCAGTGAGAATGCGTGTGAGATAGTCATGCATATATCATCAGCATCTCTAATG